TTACCTTTATAGAAAACCTATAAATTTTCTCAGGCCATGACTCATCCTGTAGGCCCCACTTAAAAATCATTCTTTAAAATGCCCTTTTTATTGGCATAATCATCCTTATATTTTATTAAAGCCATTCCACTGGCCTTCTGGGAGCAGGACTAATTTTATAAATTAGTACAACCTTTTAGCTATTTAACCTCATTTTTGTATATATTTTTTAGGGCTCTTGCTATCTCAAATAATTACCTCAAATGGTATATTTTTTACTGACCATAATCTTATAAATTTCATTTAAGTTGCCTCAGGGGTATTGTCATCATTTCTCTTTACAAAGGAGTCTTAGAATATTATTTCCCATTTTTCAAGATTTTCTTCAAATTTTCTATATACTTTCCATTTTTACCCCTATTGATTTAACTTTCTGAATTTATAATTTAGTCCATGTTTGGACTTAACTTCATAAAACCATCTCTTTGAGGCTTCTAACTGAATCTTTAGACTATATCTAGCCTCTTTTCTCTTTCTGGGCCTTTGAGACTTTATTAAAGCCTCTAACTTTGATTACACTTTAGCCCCTGAAAACTGTCACTTTGCAGTTTAGTCCCTATTCTTATTCTAGCTTCCTTTCGCATCTTTGAAACTTCTGTTCAAAAGGGCTTGGTAGCCTACCTTCTTTAGGCTACTTCATGGGTTTCTGGGCCTAAAATTTGAGATGTGACATCCTTCATGGACAATGTTCAACTTTACATTTCACATACATATTTTCCTTATCATTTTTCACATACTTGTACTCAAACTTCTTTGCAATACTGAACTTATGTACTTTCTTCTTGAAATCTTCTGCATGTGCAAAAAGTCTGGTTCCGTCCTAACAACATCTCCTTCCATTTCAAAGAATTGATCTTCGGTAAAGGTGTTGGTGCACTCATTACTCCATATGGCAAGCTTATATTAGGTCTTTCACTGCCTCCATAACTTGTGTTTTCCAAAGCATTTTACTCTAACATAGGCTTATCATTCTGTTCTGACAGTCCCAATATTTTTGAGATCCTGCATGTATAATTACCAACATTGTTAACAGATTTACTACAATATTATAACAATTATCAACTTTCATAACAAAAGAAAATTGTCACTTACATTTCTGGATCACCCATTTCTTCCTCCACATTGTCATTACCTTTATGTGCTATATAAACATATGCATTATGGTCATTATATTCAAATAAATTATTAACTTCACCATCATCTATAATATCTACTAATACCCTGTCATCAAAACTCAAAGCGTATTTAATATCACAACTATGACAATCTATATTGAACCATTCTCCTATCATTGTCTTGAAATCTTCAAGTCTTGTACCCTCATTTATTACTCTTACTTTGACAGTCCCACTATAGTATTTAACTTCGCCATTGCCATTTTCTACATACTTCCCACCTACATGAAAATAACAAGCAAGTCTTTTTGAAGATGTTGATCCAATGTTAGAAGACATCACAACTTGCTAACCTACAACAAACAATAATAAAAAAAGGGGTTAAGGTGCAACTTTAACAATAAAGTTTATCCTAAGGGACACTATGCACCATAAAGTTTATTTAGGTATAAAAATATACATGAAGCTGTCAAAAGAAGACATTTATCACCACACCATTAACATCTGTTAGTTTATCATTAGTGGAACCCACAAAGTCAGTTTTAAGGGCATTTTTAACAACGAAGTGTGCATTAAGGGGTAGTGGGCACCATAAAGTTTACTTCGATGCAAAAACATATATGAACATTTTAAAAGGGAAAAAAATAACAAAATTCATCAACTCCTATAAACGTCTGTTAACTTTATTTTGTTGGTCTGACCAGATACCACATTTTCTTTCCATCTATTCCCACTTCCAAGCCTATTCATCTTTCTATAATCATAGTCAACACACACACACACACACACTCTCTCTCTATCTCTCATGTCTTTTTCTCAGCCTCAAAAAGAATAAAGTCAATGGTGGGATCCAAAAGAATAAAGTCAATGGCTGTTTATGGGAGTTGATAAATTTTGTTATCTTTTTTCTCTTTGAGAAAGTTTATATATATTTTTGCACCTAAGTAAACTTTATAGTACCCAGTACCCCTTGATGCAAATATCATTGTTAAAAATACATCTTAAAACTGACTTTGTGAGTCCCACTAATAATAAACTAACGAATGTTAATGACATGGTGTGAGACGCCCCTTTTTGCCAACTTCATGTATATTTTTGCAATCAAATAAACTTTTTGGTGCCCAGTGCCCCTTGGGATAAATTTTGTTGTTAAAATTGTACCTTAACCCATAAAAAAAATTAAGTTCTCCACCAAGCAATTTCCATCAACATACGTGACACCCAAAACACACACAAAAAATCTTTTCTTTTATTCGCAACTTTATTATAGGGTTTCACAGCTCCATTATTGATTTCAACAACACTAACCACTTGGATGCAAACTTCACGGCTATGTAATTGGTTGCCACCGTTTTTTATTTCCGCTACGTCATTCCAAATACTAAATATAAACCCTCATCTCCAACAAACCCGTCCCCATTTCATCATGAAGCAACTTCTACACACTTACATAATGCCACATGTTCACTCCCCTCTCTTACTACAAACCCTATTACTCACAACCAAAATGTACTAAATCAGCAATGTCAACGGAATGGTGATGCGGAGGAGTAAGATAATATCATTTCTAAAGACTACAGACTTAAACTTACCTCTTTTCAGCTTAAACGTGTTGCTCCAAGTTGCTCCAACATTCCTCTTTCCTTCTTCACGTGTTTCATCAATGTCTTTCTCTGTTTACTTTCTTTCCATCTTCAGCTTCTTTTTCCCTCACTCATCAGGGCATTTCAGTCTCTATGCCAAAAATGAAAATTCCATATTAGTACCTTATGCCCATTTGGTTATTTTGCTTATTTGGATACCTATTTTGTCTTTTTGAATTTTATATGGTATTTTGTGGTCATTTTCTCAACCTACAATGTGAGTTTAATCACATCTTTATAGTGAACTTATTTAAACCCGTGAACTTCATGAGTTTGACAATTTTGACTACTTGAGCCTAAGCTTCAAAGTCAAATTGAGGATGATTTAAGATACACTCTTTCAAAGCCTCCCTTGAACCTCGATAACATCATTATAAATGACAATAATAAAATCTTCAAGACATTTAAAAATTTTTTGCGTTTCTAAATTTAAAAAGAAAAAGATGATCATCGGGGACAATTATTAATTAATTAATAATAGTACAATTAAAATTACGTATCTAGATTGATGAATTGAAAAAAAAATTGTATTCTGACATGTGCAAACTCTAACAACATCAGAAGCCGGGGGCAATTATTACTAATTAGTTAGTTATAGTGCGTGCAATAAATATTACATATCTAAATTTATGAATTGGAAAAAAATTCATGTATTTTGTCTTCTTGTGTAAAGTGTAAACTCTTCAGCACACATACAAGCTCAAGCTTTCAACGATTTCCATATGCGCGGAGTAACAAAATTTAAGAGATATTGTTTGATTTTTTTTCTTTTTTAATTTGGATCTGAATCGTGATTATCCAAACCCTAATAATATATAAATTCAAAAAAGAATAATTTCTTTGTTTTGATTTCATACATTTGGATATTTTATTATATTTTCAATTTTAAAATATTATATGCTACCTCTGTTGTTTAATATAAAATTTATTTTGCAGTACAGATTGTAATATGAAGTGAATATTAAGAAGGACCGGCAGCAATTCATCTTGAGCCGCAATTTATATATTAGTTTTACAATAAATCATAAGATTAAGGAATCTTTATTTTTATATGTAAATGAAGTAATAGTCACAAAATCTGGTATTTGCCTGAGTTACTGTTTACTCTTCTCAAAGTTAAAAGTTGATCCTTTTATTTTTCTTTGTAGTTTTTCATTTAATATTTTAAGAAGAATAAGTAATGTTTTTTCTTTAAAACAATTAATAATCATAAATTTCAAAATTGAATAATTTTTTAAGGTTCTTCAATATAATTATTATAAGTTAAACATTTAGTACTCAATACATAGTTCAAATATATAGGAGAAACTTTATGACAAGTCATATTTTTTTATAAGCCAAACAACCTACGTGTGGCTATTTAATTTCTTGAACTGCATCCAATATAAAATTTGTAATAAGCTAATTTGACTTGAGAGGGAGAGGGGATAGGGTATTTCTTAATTTTCCTATTATCTTAAGCTCTTATATGAATTTCGCCACAACAAAAAAAAGACTCTAACATGGCAAATGATGTTAGCTATCTTAAAATTTATCCTAATAAAGGGTGCTATATTTCTTAATTTTTTGTTAATTAAATTACATAAAACTTATGTAAACTGTAGGCCGTTTATAAATAACACCCTTAACTTTTAAAGGCTTCATAATTAACCTCTATGAACCTTTCAAGCTTCTATATACTACTTTCAGTCCTAATTATAAGACCTCGTTTGTAGTCTACTAATGAGGTCTTATAATTAGGACCAGAGGTAGTATAACCCTCAATTTAATTATTAATTATATATCCTCTTAACTTTTACTTTCATGTGTGCATATTAATAACCTATTAAATTTTAATTAATATGTAAATAATCCTCCTAAATTTTAAAGTTTGTGCCAATAAATAATGTATAAAATTAATCATATTATAAGAATTATTTAAAATAAGCGCAATAGTTTATATGGTTGGTTACAAAATTTTTAAGGTTATCAAAGTTATGTGTATATAGTTCAAGTGTGTGTGTGTGCATATATAATTTAGCGTAATTTTTTAAAATTACCTGATGGATGAGAGGAAATGAGGGGAAGAAAAGGACAGAAGATGGGTTAGGTAGGTAAGTAAGAGTGGATCATGCATAAGAGAATTGAACGCTTGGTTTTGAACGTGAGACTTGGCACCTATACTTGTGCTTTCATCTAACTTCATTCCCTTTTATATCAACCCTCCTTCCTCCACCTAACCCCACTCTCACCCTCCTCATCAATGCTCTCGGATTTTATTTCTTCACCGCATCCTTGTATTTAATTCTATTCATTCTTCCTCTCCATTTTGCTCCTCAGATCAATCTCCTTCTTCGTTTTCATCATTCCCTTTCTCATTACTCTGCTTGATTCAACCATGATTTCCGTTGAATCCCAGCAAAACCCAGACCTCACTTCTCCTCCTTCCCCAAAACTTGCTTCAAATGATGCAAAATCTGCAGATTCTTCTCAGACTACCCATATCTTCAAGTCTAAATTACCAGCCATAACTATTTCGAACCATCTTCCGCTTCACGCTTACTGCTTCGAGAATCTCTCGCAATTCGCTGACCGTCCCTGCCTCATCATCGGCTCCACCGGGAAAATTTACTCCTATGCGGATGCTCACCTGCAGTCGCGGAAGGTCGCCGCCGGATTCTCCAAGCTCGGGATCAAGAAAGGTGATGTGATTATGATACTGCTTCAGAATTCTGCTGAATTTGTTCTGTCGTTCTTCGCTGCTTCAATGATCGGCGCTGTGGCCACTACGGCGAATCCGTTCTACACTGCTGACGAGATCTTCAAGCAGTTCCGCGCCGCGAAGGCAAAACTGATCATCACGCAATCCGCGTACGTCGGCAAGCTCCGAGACCACGAGGCCGGTGCGGACATCGGAGCGGATCAGCTTAAGGTGATCACCATCGATGATCCGCCAGAGAAGTGCTTGCATTTCTCGGTGGTGTCGGAAGCCGACGAGAGCGAGATGCCAGAGGTGGAGATCGACCCGGACGATCCGGTGGCCTTGCCGTTTTCTTCCGGAACGACAGGATTGCCTAAGGGCGTGATTCTGACACACAAGAGCTTAACGACGAGCGTGGCGCAACAGGTCGACGGCGAGAATCCGAACCTGTACCTGAAAGCAGAGGACGTGTTGCTATGCGTGCTTCCTCTGTTTCACATATTCTCTCTGAACAGTGTGTTGTTGTGCGCTCTGAGAACGGGAAGTGCGGTATTGCTGATGCACAAGTTTGAGATTGGGGCGTTGCTCGAACTGACCCAGAGGCATAAGGTGTCGGTGGCGATGGTGGTGCCGCCGCTGGTGCTGGCGTTAGCGAAGAATCCGATGGTGGCCGACTTCGACCTGAGCTCAATACGGTTGGTGTTGTCCGGGGCGGCGCCGCTGGGGAAGGAGCTGGAGGACGCTCTAAGAAGCAGAGTACCTCAGGCCGTTTTGGGTCAGGTAAGAACAAGTCGTTCACATGAACTTCATCTTCGTCTAGTTCTAATTTAGTTAGGTATTGGGTGTTTAGATAGAAACCAAACCATGATTTTAAAAGTACTTTTATGGTTTACGAAATAAATACGTGAAGGAGTCTCTCTCATTTTGCAGAAAAGTGCTTCTCAAAAACACTTTTCAAGATTGTCAAACACCTCCTTAATGCTCAAGGAGGGGCCGCCATAAATTTAAAATAGGGAAATTTATGTTGGGTAATGACAAAAACTACATTTAAGGACCAAAACTACATTTACAACCCACATGAAGTACTCCTATGCGTTTATTAAAATAATTAAATTAAATTAAATACTTAAAAAATTAAAATGTTTGTAAAATTTAAAGCTACAGTGATTTTTTTAGATCACTAGGAGTATTATTTTTTGAAATTATAATTATCATGTAAGTTTTTAAATTTTTTAGAATGTTTTTAATTTCTATTTTAAAAAAATAAATAATAATAATTTTGACAATGATGAATAGTAATTTTGGCTACGTGAGATTATATCAATGACAAAAGTGACGTGAAGTGTAGTTAGTTTTCAGCGTTCAAACCCTCTACTATGATTGAAAAAAAATAGTAGTAACTTAAAAATACAAGTACTAGCTTTAATAACGTACAAATTTCAATTCTTTAATGAATTATTGATATTGATATCTCATATATGTTCTCAGATATGGTTTTTTTATTATTATTATTTTGTCTTTCGGTCTGCAACAGTTAAAAAAAGTATATATAACTATTTATTTATCTTTAACATTTTAAAAGATTTATTATTTTCAAACAAAAACACACAATGAAGTTTAGAACAGGAGGGAGTGTATTTTTACCAGCCATTTAAGATTAAAAATTTTTTTGTTTGTTAATTTTTATCATGCTTGGTTTGGTAGGAAGAAATTAAGATCAACTTTTTCACCTTTCTTATTCAATCGCACTCAAAGACTTGATCAACAAATCATACTTATTATTGTATATAGAAAAATAGTAAAAGCGAAAGCCATAACATAAGAAGATTAACGTTTCTTGAAAATTTTAAAAAATAAAAAAATAATATATGTTGAGGATGATAGCGACGTGTCCAGCTTTTGTCATCCATACCCCAACTGATAGTAGAGAAGCCAAAGGATCTTGTGAAGCCATTCAAAGTTTAGCTAATATAAATTCCAGTAAATACGATTTAATTTAGCACAATTGAGAAGATTGTTATGTCCTATTTTTTTTTTGGGGCATAATTGAGTAGTTGAAAATACGATTTCAGTCCCCTGATATGAAATGAGCCTAACTAGAAAGTGCCTATCTTTTGAAGTTTAGTCTTTATTGTTAATAAATTATAATTTTAGTTTGAAAGGAAAAAAATTATGAACATCTAGTTTGTCAGATATATAATATCCATTCATCGTGGTTGTCGTCATCGTTATCTGGAACTACTTTTATTTTATATATTTTGTGTAGAAAACTATTTATAATACTTGAAGTAAAAGCATATATAAAGATGAAAAGAATTACTACTCGTTTGACTTTGGAATGTGAAGAAATTCAAGAAACTTGATTCGGCGATGACTATATATGATAGAGTTGACTTCTTTTTCAGATGATTATCTGAAATATAAAAAATATTTTTATGGAAGTTGGATTTGTTTTTTTTGCTTTTTTGGAGTATACGACAAAAGAAAGTTTGCACTCTAATGGCAAGCAAGAGAATGAAAAAAAGTCGAGAAAAGGGGCCTATTGTTGGAACTTGGAACGCCGGGTAGGTTCTGGAGTCTTTCCTAGTTTCATCACATATTCACTTGGGAATCCGCATTTAGAAGGAGATAAAAAAAAAAGTATAAAATATTTTTTCATCCTAAAATACAAAAATATGTGTTAATTTTTCTAAAACATCTTTTTTAATCATTTATATAAAAAAACTGCCCCGCAATAAAAACTATTTTTAATACATATAATCAATAAAAAGAGTTTAAAAAATATATATTTGAAAAAAGATTAGTTAATTTCACATCTAACAATGAAATGGAGTACTTAATCATAATAAGTTGCATATATCTATCTACTTTTATACGAATAAAAAATTGTTCTGTATGTACCTATATTTTTTTTAATATTATCTCTGATCCTTAATATCTATTTGACTAATTTGAGTATATTAAAAAAGTTTGTTGAATTAGTTATTTGTAATGATTAGGTGTTGTCTTTCCTAAAATACACTTGCTAATAATGTATTAGCTAAAACTATCATTTGATTGAACATTTAACATATGTAACTACTATAAGGATTACATTAAAAAAATAGATAAATATGAAAAATAAAATGAATTGAGATATTATATTTAGGACCAGATTGAAAGCCAAACTAGCTCTTATATTAAGGATCGGAGATAGTATATGTGTGGTTTTATTTCTTAATTAAATACTTTAATTTCGTTTCTATTAGCCTATGTAATTTTAACAGAATAAAATTAAAGTAAGTAATTAAAAAAAAGGAAATATCAAATTAAAAATTAACAAAATAATATAGGTACAATGCAGAATGGTTTTTCTTTGCCTCAATTCCAGAGCTTCTTTGTTAGTCATGAATTACTGGGATAACTAGACACATCTTTTTTTTATATATGAATTACTGGGATAACCAGACACATCTTTTTTTTATATATTATCATAGTTACCAAGTTTTTTTTTTTTTTTATGAACCTAAAGTATCTTACCAAGTTTTATTTTTATGCATGAATTTTATAATTGTAGAGTTTATTTCTTTCTAATAAAAAAGAGAAAAATAACGTAAATACTGAAATGGGGAAAATTATTATGAAGGGGTACGGAATGACGGAGGCAGGGCCGGTGTTGTCCATGTGTCTGGGCTTCGCAAAAGAACCCTTTCCAACAAAGTCAGGGTCATGTGGCACCGTCGTCAGAAACGCAGATCTGAAAGTCGTTGACCCTGAAACTGGGCGCTCTCTGGCTTATGGCCAACCCGGTGAGATTTGCATCCGAGGCCAGCAAATCATGAAAGGTATGTTCCACTTCCATCCAATATCTTAAAATTTATCTTATCCTGAAATAATATTCCATTTTAAAACAATTATTTCTCTCAATTTTAAATATACAAATTCTTTATTAGTTCTTCTAAAAAAATTTTTGGCCACTTCTCTGTACTGGAATGGTATGGTTAGAGTTTTATTTAAGATTAGTCATATTTTTCTGTGCATTTTAGGGGAGATATAAAGTGAGTTGTATTATATAAGTATAATACAAAGTAATATAAATTATATATATTATATATAGCTGGCCCAAAAATTTATATCATATATAGTTTTCTCATAACGGTCATTTAAAAAAAAAAATTTATCAGTTAAAATAGTTATACTATTTTTTTAACCCTTTTATTTTTTTTCTCTGATTCATTTATTAATTTGGACAACCAAAGCTCAATTCATTAATCTAAAGGGGAGGAGAACTTTTAAATAAGATTGGAATTTGGAATGTTGTGCGTAGAAAAAACTATGCTTGCATAGTCAGCTTAATAATAAATATTACTGCCTCGGGTTCTTTAGTAATATGAAATCTCGCTTGTAATAATTTAATTTAAACTATAAATTAGATCTTATATTTAGGATTGAAGGAGTATTACATAGTTACCAAAAGAAGATGGGCGAAGACAAGTTGATGATTATTGGTGTGTATATGTAATATATTTAGGATATCTGAATGATGAGAAGGCGACAGCAGCAACAATAGATGCAGAGGGATGGCTTCACACAGGGGATATTGGGTACGTAGATGACGACGATGAGTTATTCATAGTGGACAGAGTTAAGGAGCTCATCAAATTCAAAGGCTTCCAGGTGTCTAATAATCTCTTCTATCTTTATCTCTCTCTCTCTCTCTCTCTCTCTGGTTTTGCGCCCAACATATATCTATCAGTTGGAAGCATCTCTAAAAATGTGGCTATACATACTAAGGGTATGCTGATATATAAGGCGCAGGAGAGGTAAAATTTTAATGATGAATTTGATTTTAAAAACTAAAAAAGTTGGGTTAAAAATTTTTAATTAAATTTTCTTATTTTCTTATCTTACACATTCTCTTTATTAAAATTTTATAGTCTTATTTGTCTAATTTTTTAACTGAACTCATTAAAATTTTCCATTTGCTCCCCCGGGGGGGCGTTTCCATCATACCAAACACGGGGTAAAACTCCAATGCTATTTTCCCGTCCACACTAGCTTGCTCATTTCGCAACAAAGCAAGACAAACATTGCAGGTGCAGGGAAAAAAAATTTTCCACATGACTTTTCTAGCTACATGCCAATGCCATTTCCAAGTTAAGGATGGCAGTGGGCAAAAATCCCCTCCACTTTTAGATATCTAAATTCAATTTAAAGAACAATTTTCAGAAAACTATGCATCTAACAACCTAGATGTAAATTAATATAAATATAAATACAAGTTTTCAAGTTGATAAAAATTGGCTTTTTTTTTTTGGTAGAACGATAAAAATTGGCTTTGGTATGAGAAGAACCGTGCTTAGTGTTATTCTCTGTTGTTTTAGGTGGCACCAGCTGAACTTGAAGGCCTTCTTGTAAGTCACCCTTCCATTGCAGACGCAGCTGTCGTCCCGTAAGTATCACTTAATGATTACTTAAGTAATAAACATAGATTATATGTGATTAATTATATATCAACATTTTGAATTTAAACGAATCATCAATAAACTCATTGCTCCTTGTGAATAATAATGTTAATATATAATCTTCCACTTGTTTTTATAAGTTCAAATTGACTACTTTATGTAAATTACAAAAAAGTTAAAATTAGTTATTTCGTGAAAATATTTAAAATTATTCTCAATAAAAATCATTGGTTAAAGGATGATTAATTAATAATATTGTATTATGGTATGAAACATGCAAATGTCTTCATCATAATACGGAGTAGAAAGAGGAGTATTTATTAATTCCAATTAAAAAATTTGAACAGGCAAAAGGATGATGTTGCTGGTGAACTTCCTGTTGCGTTTGTGGTAAGGTCAAATGGCTATGATCTTACTGAAGAGGCCGTAAAGGAGTACATATCCAAACGGGTATGCTCCCTCCTTTAGACTTTCATTTAAATATTTGATGTTCATAATTTATTTATTTCTATCATTCCTAGTGTTTTTTTTTTCTTTTTAACATATTCGATTATTCCTACAATTTTCGAGTTTTTAAGTTTTGGTGCGTGGCATCTCGAGTCACAAAAAAAAAAAAGGAAAAATCAATATTTGTATCTTTTATATTTTAATATATGCGGATTTAATTAGTTCACCTATATTCAAATTATTAAGATTATGCATATGTGAAATTAAAAGAGCTGAGATTAAAGCTAGAAAATGATCATATGTGTATATGACTTCGAACAGGTAGTGTTTTACAAGAGATTACACAAAGTGTATTTCGTTCATGCAATTCCAAAGTCTCCATCTGGGAAGATATTGAGAAAAGACCTGAGAGCAAAGCTAGAGAGCAACAACATCCAAACGCCTTGAAAATTTTTTAGACATAATTGTCTTCGTTACTTCATTTGTTATATTGTTGCTTATGTTTTTTTTTTTTGGGGGGGGGGGGTGGGGGTGGGGGTGGGGTGGAGAGGGAATTAGGTGTGATGTGTAATCCATGACAAAAATCTTCTTCGCTGGAGACAATTCTATGAGGAGGTGCTCATAATTCATTCAACCAATCGTCATTGTATCTTTGCTATATTCTTTCCCCCTTGTCTGTCTTGTATATTTAAATGTACCCTATAATGTCATTTGAAATAAATTTCTCTTGTCACCAACTGTGACATAAATCGATGTAGAAAAGCGGCTTTCTATATCAATTGTCACGCGATAACATGCGAAGAAAGTGAACAACCCCCCCCCCCCCCCAAAATTTTTTTTTAATTAGCCTATCACTTCAGTCACATCTAAGAGCTTCACCCTTTTCATTTTATTCATATCAAATATGAAAAATTCAAACAATTAGCTCAAGTCTAACAAGCAGAGAAAGTGACAAGATTTTTTTTTTTCCAATTTTGATTAACTTTTTTTTATGCCAGTTATTAACTCGTGTAAACCTGGTTTTTTATACACTGATTCAATAGTCAGTGTTTGAAACAGTGCAACTTTTAAACTGACTGTATTTACATTGGCTAAAGAATTGGTGTTAAATGGCTGTTTGGTCTGAGGGAAATGTGAGGGGTGTGAGGGTTGGGGGGAGTGATACTCCTCTTCCCTTGCTTGGCTTCTTAAAATTTTTAGTAGGGGAGGGGATAGTTTCTTAATTTTTTTCACCTCCTACAACGGAAATGGCAATAAACGTTGGTCGACGAGGAGATTTAGCTGTAATTATCAAAGAGATGTGTAAACGGGCGGCGAACTCTGTATACTTTCTGCGACAGTTAACAAGTGATGTAGTTTTTTTTTTTTGACCGGAAACAAGTGATGTAGTTAATAACTTTCTATGTATGTAAAGATAAAGAACCTCTGTAGAAAGTCGTAATTTCACCTACATCGCCTTTTAAATCGTGGAATGTTATTTTTCTACACTAGTTTTTCTCCTAAATGTCATGCATTTAAGTTTCTACGATGGTTTCTCGTATAATTGATGTAGAAACTTGAATTCTTTTTTTATATGCTATTTTTTTGTTAACTAAACCTCCCTACAATTGCAGACGTTCAACAATAAAACAATCCTAAGCAAAACACTATCAGGACATGTAACCCCTAAAACCGTCATATTTTAAAATGAAATTCTAAAATAAAATCACATATAGCCCCTACTGAAAGGTTGTAAAGCTAACACTACCAAAAGGAAAATACTTTACCGTACTCAAAATTAGGACAATACCAAACTGAACATTTAATTAGATATGCATATATTAGCAACTTGTCTGCAACACAAAACTATGATATTTGACATGCATGGAAATATGATATTTGACATGCATCACAAGTACGCAACAATACTATAAAAAAAAAAGGCTTTTAGACTACTTTAAATGGGCTTTTGACGCCCGATATAGAAACGATTGGTGTTAAAAGTTACTCCTTTTTGCACAGGTTACATAACCAGTGAAAAAAAAAGTTACTTTTAAGATTGATTATTATTGTAATTAGTGTAACTATTATAAATTTAATTAAAAAAGAGGTCAACTATTTAGACTGACTATATTTGTTATAGCAATTCTGAGAAGCGGAATTTTTTTCAATTAATTATTTTTCCTTATGCTAGCTAGTTATTCTTATGACATTGGTCTTTTCAAGTTTTTTTTTTGTTTTGGCTTGGTTGCTCGATTTTGCTAGCTGCAAAGGGGTTAAATGACTTTTAGTGTTGGATTTCATAGAGGTAATTTAACCCAACGTTTGCTTGCAGCTAAAGGCTAATTTCTTTTGCAAGGACTAGTGAAGAATCTCACAACTCTTGGATTGGGTGCCATTGTTCAACAATAATATGCATTTTGATTATTAGTGTTAAAATAGAAAATACATATGTTACTAAGCCATTGTTCAAGGTCGCAAAGGAAAAAAAACGAAAGTCTAGCTTGACTTAAGTAGAAATAAAAGACCAAATGTATACGAACAAGATTTACAAATCCAACCCATATTTGCAAATCCAAAAACGGAAAGTCTAGCTCAATTTCTATTGAAGAAGATGGGTGAGGAGTGGAGGTATTGTCAAACATATTTGTGGATTGTTGCTACCCTTTGTTACTAACGGACGTCGTCCCAGTAAACATCATCTTCTAACTATCAAGGTATAGAGATAAGGTTCAATTGAGTCTATTGTGACCTTTCCAAAGCTCATAAGAGACTGGGTTCTTGTGAATGAGAGGAGTGAAGAGGCTTCAAAGTAAGCCTTGGTCAGGGCTTATAGGTGATATATTGAGTGATTTTGAAATTTGACATTTGAAATCTGGAGGAGAGAGTGGAGGTGATTAAGGTACATAATAAGTTGAGGGTTCACGCATCGAAAATGCACAATGGTACATTCCAAAGCAAATTAAAGTGAAGAAAAACAAATCAAAACCACGTGATGCTGAAAAGACATTGGATGGTTGGCAATGGATATAAAAACATGGACCAATAAAACTTGGGGAGAATGTTGACAAAAGACATTACATGGACCAAAAAGATCAAGTTATTGATGCTGAAATGGCCTAATCACCAAGTCACCATGAGATTTATAGGTATAAAGTTGAAACATCTCTTTTTAAACCTTTTTTAGTACATATTTGGAAGCGTTATGGTTTAAGCGGAAGATGAAACAAGTTCATAGATTGAAAATTTGCATTGTAATTACTCGGGTTACTATTCAAGGGGAAATTCCAGATTTTTAGTCCAATTTTAAAAATTCATAACTAATTATAGAAAAATCGCATTGAGATGGTTCAAAATTCTATTTGAAACTCTTTCAATTTTCTATAGAAAAAAATTATCAATATGGACTTAGTCCTTGCTAATCTGTACATTTAATTGCGTGAATTTTACTATTAATTTCGTAAAAACTGTACCTTTCAGTTTCTCTATCCTAATTTTGAGTAGTCATAACTCTTAGCGCACACATCTATTTGAAGTGATCTACATTTGTTTTAAAGCTTAGGATTTTCTCTAATTACTCACAAAATTTCATGGGCATATTCGATCGTTTGCCTCCCTTTAACTCTGTCACCATTTCGTGACTCATTTAAGGATAACTTATCCCCTTATTTGCATTAATAATTCATAATTACTCCTTTTCAAGCATATTACCATTCTATCCATACACTAACCATTCTTATAGATCATCATAGCCAATTATACATGTCATCATCATCATTTAACATCACATAATATTAAGAGGCATGTTCATAACATACATTGTCGTACAAAGTACATAATGTAATACAATACATTTTCTCAATTCTTTTCCTCTTTTCCTTGCTTCCACTTCATGCATCCTCTTTGTCACATTCTAATTTTTAGGCCTAGGAGCCTTGGGAGTAGCCCAAAATAGGTAGGCTACTAAGCCCCTTGAAGCAGAAGTCCTAAAAATGAGAAAGGAAGTCAAAGCAGTTTCAGAGACTAAACTGTAAAGTAAGAAAGTTACTAGAGGACAAACGTGTAAGTAATGTTGAGGTTCTAAGAGAGTCTCAAGGGCCCAGAAAGAGAAAAGGGGCTAGATACAGGCTAAAAGTTAAGTTCAAGAGAGCTAGTCTTGAACCTTATATAATCTCTTGATCCTAATGGATAGTGTGATTATTATGGCTATGTTTAAGACCTTGGAACATCCAAGAGGATGTTTGATGATGTTGACTGAAAGCTCTCATGGTTGGGAAGTCAAGGGAGTCAAAGGAAAAACAAGAGCAAAGCTTGTGGTACAAGGTAGTGAATTTACCTATTATCATTGCTTGATGTTGTATGCTTGTGTATTGATATGTACATGATGTTTGAATGTTGTTGTGGCATGTTTTGACTACTGTAATTGCTGTTTATGATGAGTAGATTATGTCTCCATGATCATGCATTAAGTAGGTAGCATTAAGCATGCTAATATATCACTAATTAACAAGAAAATTAGCAAGTTGCATATCATACACTAGCATCTGTCTAGCATGATTAATATGGTATTGTTTGCTACTGAGATTCTCTTGAATCTCACCCCTCCCTAACCAACCATTTAGATCAATCAATGATGGGTAATGATGGCATGAGAAGGAAGGAGAAGAAAGTGGACAATTATTGATGTAAATAAATGGTTAAGGATTAATGTATAATTCTCCTATTATATAAATTATATTATGGATGCCAACAATGCATTGTGATTAATTAGAATGTTTATAGTATGAATGCAAATGTATGACAATGAATGTGAAAGAGTAAGCCCAAGTTATGCATGCTAAAGTCACAAAAAGAATTAAAGCAAGAATTGTTTAAGGGATAAAACATAGGTCCTAAAGTAGTCAGTTTTCAGCTCCAATTTGACCTATCAAATGAATGAATTAAGCCATGAAATTTGGCAAGCATATAGTACACATCCCAAAATTTAAAATGAGAGGTAGACCACCTTATTTGGATATGTACAAAAGGAGATACAAATTTCTAAAGTTGAGGCAAGAAATGTAGAAGTTCCAGAATTTACCAAATAAACAGTAAAGTTTAATGAGTAAACTGTACGAATTGGCAAGAGATAAGTCCAGTTTGATACTTTTTCTTAAAGAGCATTGAAAGAGATTCAAATAAAAATTTAGAGCACCTCCATACGATTTTTGTAGAATTAGTTATAATTTTTCAAAATTGAACCTATAATCTAGAAAATGCACAGTGAACAGTACTCGAGGACTTAAAAGAAAACTTTTAATTTTTGGGTCTAAGTAAAGCTTCCACATGCTCAATTCACTTCTGAATGCATACTTTGAGGAGTAAAAGTAAGGATGTTTCACTCTTACTTTCTCATTAACACCTATTAGGGTTAGTTAATGGAGGGTAAGATTTGAAAAAATCTTAATAGCAAACAATAACTATCAAAACATATATGGCAAGCTTGGCATTCATAACATGCTTGCAACTTAATATTTTTATAATATAATGACATATTTGAAAATCATCATACATTTACCACAAAACACATAGTCCCATGGCATACTTTAACATATTCACAATCACAATGCATGAGTTCATAAATTCACATAAGCAAACAAACATACCATACATACAAAAAAAAAAACTAAGCACATAAGAGTAGGGTAGAGTTTTCTACCTTTAGTCTTTAAAATTTATCTTTACTTCCTTTAATTCTAGAGAAAATTTGTGAATTTTCTCAGATCACAACTTAACCCGTAGGC